GACTTCCATTGATGGTATAGGTGGTTTGCGTCATATGAGGCAGGAGATGCACGACGTGGCAATTCGGTTGGTTGAGTTTTAAACCGTTTTTCACTGCCCATTTCTCAATAGATGTATGGTACTTTAGAAGCTCAGTCGAATCATTTTCGCTTCTAATGGACTTCCAGATCTTCGCATCGTCTGCGTAGATCAATGCCGGTCAGCTAACTGAGCCTAGCAGGTCGTTAATAAATATCAGGAAGAGAAGTTGGCCTAGGATGGTCCCCTGTGAAACTCCCGATGTAGATACTCACCAACTCGCGTGCACTCTGTTTACCTTGGTGCGAAACTTTCTATTCTCAAGGTAGTTTCTGAGCCAAGATAGGAGTGGGTCAGTGAAGCCCATTTCCACAACCTTTTCGATTAGGCGTGCGTGGGGTACTGTGTCAATGGCTTTTGCAAAGTCGAGAAATATTACGTGCACCGGTATTTTATGGTCCAAACAGGATGTCCAACTGTCCTATGCGATGAGGAGACCTGCCTTTCCGAAACCCGTGTTGAGCTTCATGGAGTGTTTTATTCTTATCCATGTACTCCCTCATTTGTTCGTCCACTAGTCCTTCCATAACCTTTGATAATTTTGGTAGTAGTGCGACTGGTCTGTAACAACCTGGGTCCTTTCTATCTCCTCCTTTGAAGATTGGAGAGAGAGTAGCTTGTTTCCATTCAGCTGTGAATTGGTGTGACTCCAGTGAATTCCTGAACAGGACGCATATCGATGAACAGAGGACAACACTTGATGAGTAGGTTTTCTTTTGGACATGAACCTAAACAGATGTTTCGAGATTGCCTCTATTCTGGCGGCTAGCTTCGTCTGGAATTGTCTCCTGTCGCTTCGAACTTTGGTATTGCATCTGTTTCTCAATGTCAAGTAAGAACTGTGATCGGAATCCTTCAAATAGTCATTCTACTTCCACAAGGCGCTCCTCTTTGCCTGTAGTAAGCGTTCAGTGCCGCGCCTAATCCAGGTTCTTCTATTCCCGTGTTTTTGGTGTGACTGAGGTATATAGTCTACGACAGCGTTTTTGATGATATCTCTCACTGTTTGCCAGTGATCGTCTACTGTCGGCCTCCACCACTCCCGTGGCCATGAGGCATGTAGTAGGACCTCTCTCAGAATTTGCAGTATTACCTCAATCAGTTTGCTTTTCTTCGCCTTAGTGTGGAAACAACACCAACATGATTCTGTCACCTCAGTTAGTTGAGTGTCGTAGGAGTTCTCCAGATGCGGAAATCTCTCATCACTAGAGACGAACAGAATCCTCGTTATATGGAAACTGATATTTTCCTGACAACACAACGAATTCGTAAGAAACTAATTCAAGTTATATAACAGTTTTCACTTGCTCGTTATTATGACATTAGATCCTACAACGCTTCGAAATCGATGTGTCCTCGTTGACCTCCAGCTATTTACTGAGAACAATCGAGATTTGGTTATCAAATTGGGACATTTAATCATTACATATATATCAACTAATGATAATATATTGATTCTCAAATAACTCCGTTACAAGAGTCACGACAGTTTGCAGGCTAGATCAAATTGTCACAAATGCTTTCACTATTACTGTAAAGTTATAGCAGTTAAATTATGTATAAGAGTCAGTTTCTGATTGCATATTTACACCATGTCACTGACAGAAACAGTATAATACAGCCACATTTTCAATAGTAGAGTACAAATAAGGATTGTGCACAATAGTTTCTATTGGCGATTTGCCCAGATCAATGGTGAGTTTGTTGGGAAAGGTCAAATGGAACGCGCTTGATACGTGCTGTGATCCAGACAGTAATGTACATAGGATGCATGTTCCCTAGAGTCGCCAAGGATTTCCAACCGTGAATGGGGTTCTGAAAAGGGGAAATGAGAGAGAGAAAAAGGCAGCAGTTCGGCAAGTCTGTATATATAACCAAAGCACTACTTAACCTGCCATGTTGAAGTAGTCAATACAGTAGTAAGTGAAGATAAAATTCAAACTGACCACTTAAATTAAAGTAAATTATGGGAATATAAGTATATAACACACAGCTGGAAGAGTACAGGAAAAAACAATGAAGAGTTGTGCAGTATCAGGTGGATAGAAGAGGAGTCGAACTAAGAAGCTGGATTTATGTACGTTGAAATCGAAAGAGTAGAGTTTGTAAAAAGAAAATATTGATGAATAAAATTTCGCACTGTTTAACTGTTTTTTTTTCCTTATTGAATGCCAACCTCTAAGTCATACTGTAAGCGCCTGAGTAGGAATGTTGTGGGTGTCTCGACAGAATAGCGACCTCAGCATAGTTTCGGAAACATGAACAACAGAAGTAGCAAGCGTATAAGAGCAACCTCAGTATTACTGATTAGTCGTCTCATCAATCTAATAAGCCGAAATAATAATAATAATAATAATAATTTATTCTCAAATAACAAACATGTTACAAGAGACATGCCAATTTACAGGCAAGATCAAAATGTTAAGATTAGCAACATATTTTTTCTGAAAACGGTATAATGTTACTGAAACATTTCACAAGATTCATTGTTTTCTTAAAGATGGAATGTACAAAGCAAGTAATTGGCGCAAGTTACGAAGGTTGCGTTACGACAATCATCTTATGGGCTGAGAAATGATTCATGGTACAGACAGGTTTTCATATAACAAGAATTGATGCGGTAAATGTACAAAAGTCTGGTTGATATTCGTCAGCTAATGATTTCACACATTCTTGGCTAGGGTAACCAAGTCTACTGCAAATATCCAGACAAATATATGTGGATTGGAATAAGGTTCTGAAAAAAGAGGAATAAAGAAAACGGGACGAGGAGCAGAACAGAAAATATTCATGTTCAAAGCCGAACAACGGCTTCGCACATACGTTTACGGATAAAACAAAGGTATGTTTACCCAAACATTTTTAATATCAGAACACTTTACACCTGCGCTTATGTAGGTCAATGAAGACAATTCAGTAGTGAGATAACTAATGAGAAGTTAGTTGAAAGAATAGAGGAATTTCAGAAGAACCAAGTTGTTAGTAATAAAGTTGAGTTACAAAATATAATAAAGAGGATCAGTGATATAATTTTTTGGTTTTATTTATTCTTTCTATTTTTAAATCTGAGGCTCAAGAAGTTATGAATGAGCTCTTTTTTAGTATAGTTGTCCAGACCAGCTTGTAATAGGATTTCTCGGTAGGAAGTAAAAACCAGTGCAAGGTTACAGACATGGGTTGTAGACGAGGTTAACTAGGAAAAGTAACATCAATATCACTGATTTGTTACATCCTGCTATATTGTAAGGAGCCGTAAGCAAACAAAATGTTCTGCCACACAGACATGGGTAGATTGAGGTTATCACCCCACCGTCATGAATGCTGGTCAGATACACCACCCTCCCTCCTTTTGTGATGTTAGGCTCTCTTACGTTTAATGGTTAATTGTAAATAATGGTCTCTAGTCTATTCTCAATTTTTTTTTTGTACACCTTATCGGAATTAACAATCTATACCAGCTCCAACATTACAAGCAATCCCGAAAGCAAACAAAATGTTCTCTGTCTCCACTCATTGGTAGAGTGTCTGCATAACGATACGTATAAACGGAATCTTACCGAATCAGAATCAGTGTGCAGTACGACTAGCTATTCTGATCAACTGTTCTCTTTCTAGTTGCTACGGTGGCATACACACATTCAGTCACTCGCAAATGCAAGACTTGTGGAAATACTACTGGATCAATGCGAATTTTGTTACCTAGACGGTCAAAGGTTGAGTTGCGATTTTAATTGACTTTCAGGCTCCATTCTTTTGCAGTTTATAATTATTAGTACTATTTTCCTCCTTTCAAAACTCCTATCTCGCGTGTTCCACTCTCCGAATCGTCTCATTTTCCGTTATCAAAACTGTTAATCAACAGGTCCAGTGATAGCTACCAGTTCTTACACTATAACACCTGAATTTTATTCACTCTTGCGGTCCGCTTTTAACTTGCAAAGTGTAGGTTCATACGCGTCCCACCCAGCCCGGGACCAAAACCATATTTCTGGGAGAGAACGGTTCTTCGAGTTTCCAATTACCACAATAGGTTCCGTTGCTGGAAGAATAAGTGCTTCCAGTCCGTTACTGCTAGAGTATCAAATCCAAATATGGCTGTAGCCATATTAAGTATCAAATTTAAACAACATATGTATAGTTTAAAAGGAAACATAAAATCGTCGATATAAGAAGAGGATATAGAAATAATAACAAGATACAAGTGATAAAATCTCAAAATGGAATCAAGTAGAGTACCAAAATATCGAACAGAAAGAGTCAGTAATATCATAACACAAATATAGATACATGGAGGGTTTTTCCAAAAACCAAACCTTCAAAATAGATTCTACACCCATAGTCTCGAAGAAGTATGCAGATACAGTCAGCTCACTGATGAGTGAGCTGTTCATGCGTTCTATGGTGCATCACCAAATCCCAACTGAATGAGAACGTTTTAGACTTTCTTCAATCCTTAAGGGGGGGAAATAGGAAGGAACGAACATTTCATACTAGTCACATTACTGCCAATAATATCGAATGTATTAGGAGGGAAAGGAAACGTATAAATGAAGTTGTACATGGATAAGAACTAAATTCTCCCTGTTACTCAACATCAGTTTCACATAGTTAGGTCGTACACACCCATATTCACACACACATCTCATCAAGAGTCGTTACAACTTGGAGCGATCTCTCAGCCCAGGTGACCATGGTCCTCCGAGTAAACAGCCTTTGTTGCAGCTATCTTCTCCAAATTATCCTTTCTCGCTTGCTATCCCTGTTTCCTATTCTTAGCTCACACATTGTTCCTCGCACACATATTTCTCTACCCATCACTTAACTTAATTATCCATTCATTTACAGTTCTTGTTCTTCTTTCTAGTATATGACTTATATCCCTCATATTTCTCATGAAGAAAACCATTGATTTCCAGCCTAGTAACGAGACCGCTGCTTGAGGTACAAATCTTCTACACCAGCTACTATATTGTGTATTGGACATTGGATGCTGAAAATCGCCGCTCTATTGAGAACGTGCGTTGTTGGTTTTCATGTGGTGTCAAGTCAGCATTTGGTAAGCTTGCCTATAAATTACATCTAGTGGAGTGGTTTCAATGTACTGAGTTACACAGATTGCGATGGTCTCAGTTTACAGTGCATCTGTCCTAATGTGAGAGAACTGGAACCGACCTGTATCCCCAAAATTACTTTCAGTCGTTGGTTTGTTTGCGTTTTTCTACAAAGTGCCTTGTGAGAAGCAGTATATGACATCATCTGAAAGAGGAAAGTGCAAGGTGCACATAAATTAGATAGTGAAATTAGTCGATTATATGAAGATTAACAGGAAGTTGGAACTGTAGATCTTAAGTGTGAATTTCGGTATATACTGACTTTTCGGATATCACCGTTAATGAGTGGATGATATTAAGAGGAATATAGGTGAACGGATATGACGTTACTGCCACAACTGCGATCAACTAGTAAAGATCAGAATATTTGATCTTCCTGTTGTTAAGTCCACGAAGTTATTTAACCTTATCATTACCTATCTTATGAATTCATTTCGACTTATATGTATCATATTTTACAGCGTTCTCAGGTTGAAGTTCCTAATATTCAGCTGCTTCTTAGATAATTTGATCGGTTCGCATTATCTACACTTTATTCTCCTAACTATTTTAACATATTTCGATTTGATACAAGATGGATGGATTGACATCTCTTGCGAAATTTACGGATTAATATTATCTTGGATGAATTCCATGGTGATTGCTTTATGTTACAGTATTCCTATTGGTGTGTTTAGGTCAATGGGAGAATACTTTAATCTGCCCGTTGAATATCTGTACTGCCCTTGGAATCTTTCTTTGTGTCAGTGGAAACAATACAAAATCTGAAATGTTAAGGGCGATGCAGTTATCTGACCATTCGAATGCTATGAGGTTGATTGTAGGATCTGTCAACTTTTAAATAAATGTTCGAGACGCAGTGATAGTGATGAGATAGTCCTGCTTAAAATTTGAGAATCAAGGAGCAGTTCTGCATTAATTTGGAGACATACTACGATACCGAATGAGAACATGTGAGTTCATGTTTTGTGTTACCAGTTTTGCACGTGTAGATGGTATTTGAGACCATCATTTATGGTTCTGGAAAGTGAATGAATCAGTGGGTTAGTGAGCAGACTAGAAGAGAAATTCAAGGACTCCTTTCACCTAGTTCTTTAACAAGTGACACGTTTCGTGTAGTGACAGCTATTACATATTTCTTAGGTAAAAGAATGCATGCAACTAACTCACTGACTGAAGTTCTTTGAAATTCGATGCACCTTATATTTGTGTCTCTGCTATATCAGTTGACAAATCTTAACGAGCGTTGTTATTTAGGTATGTGAAATGTGGCTTGCTTAGATGCCTTGACTTTGACAAGCCGAGCAGTTTCGAACCTGTAACTTACTAGATGGTGGAAGTAGAAAAGTGATATTTACTGTCCCTGTTCATTCTGCAAACAGGTCAAAATAATGAGCGTCAAGTGTACTTTAATGTATATACGGTGGATTGATCACTGAGTAGTGACTTGTTTCGTCATGACCACAGGCGAAGCTTACTGACGTGTGCGAAAACCGATGAAGCCTAGGTCGGGGGTTCCTTGTCCAGCAGCCACCTTACATAGGATGTTTTGAGGATG